TAGAGTAGCACTTGTTGTTTGTCATTTCTCCGATCACAAATGCAGACATGGTTTTATGTTTAGTTTACACGGCGCGATGCAACGCAACGCGTAAAAAGACAGTATAAGTCATTATAATCCATAATTATGTCCCCACTGGATGCAACGAATGCCTCGTTTATAATGGGTTTTCATGTTTTTGAATCATCGCTCCGGCCTGACAGGGCATCATCACAATATGGCAAGGGGCGTAACATATCCGTCACACGCTTGAGGTATTCGGCCAATCACAACGCACTGGATAGCTGGCCAATCACAGCACACCTTGCTTTTCAGACCGATGAGCTTAGTAAAAATCGACGCCTTTCAGAAAGGCGGGGCATAGAGGAGAAACAATAATGTACAGTATGTGGAAAATAATGTGTTTTTTTAACCTTAAACCGCATAAACATATTTCATTACACCAAATAATGTTCTTTTTAGCAGCATCATATGACCCCTTTAACAGCTTTGTATTTCTCAGAGGATTTATTTTAGTAGCACCCTACCTCAACAGTAACAAGCTGTGCTTAAAGACCTGGGAACACTGGACAGACAGAATCCTCAGATAACATCTTTCTCCTGACATCATACCTCACCTGTGGCCAGATTCAACATCACCTTCTGGAAACCTGAGAAGTTGGCAGGTAACACAGGCTCCATTCACGTGAGCAGATCACCAAGACGTGAACTCCATGGCCTGTTTATCACCATGGAGTGCTGTGTTAGATGATAATGGGAGTGTTAGGCCTCTGCAGATAGAGAAATGAGCTGATAAGTGAGGTATAAGGGGTCTCAATGGAGCTATAAACCAAGAATAAATCCTAAGATGCCGATGGATGCATCATATTTTAGAGCTGCACCATGTAGAGAGTAAAATCCTATGACACTTTGAAAGGCGAGAGGTGAAAGGAAGCTGAACGGCCCAGAGGAAACACCTCCACTCCTTCCCAAACCCAGATGTGAGTCAACCTAAAAAAAAGCAATGGTGTCAGCTTTCCAGTTTTTTTATTAAAAACAGAGTACATTGATTTATACAGATTTAACACCACCAGTAATAAAATAAAAAAGATTGAAAATCTTGAGCATTCCTCTGCAATCAGTTTCATGATTAGCTGAATGTTTTGAGTGCTAAATTCCTTTAGCTTTTATCTTAAAGGGGTCATACGATGTTGCTAAAAATAACATTATTTTGTGTATTTGGTGTAATGAAATGTTTAATGCGGTTTAAGGTTCAAAAAACACATTATTTTCCACATAAGGTACATTATTGTTTCTCCTCTATGCCCCGCCTTTCTGAAACACGTCGATTTTTACAAAGCTCATTGGTCTGAAAAGCGAGGTGTGCTCTGATTGGCCAGCTATCCAGTGTGTTGTGATTGGCCGAATACCTCAAGTGTGTGACGGAAATGTTACGCCCCTTACCATATTGATTTACCATCACATAGTGATGCCCTGTCCGGCCAGAGCGACGAGACAAAAACATTAAAACCCATTATAAATGAGGCATTTGTTGCATCCAGTGGGGACATAATTACTGATTATAATGACTTATACTGTCTTTTTATACGTTGCATTGCGCAAGATGATCGGAGATCGGCATGATCGGAGAAATGACAAACAACAAGTGCTACTCTACGGGCGGGCGGGCTTGAGAATGGCGCGGCTTGCGGATTCGACGAAAGAGCGGCCGGCGGGCTCTCGGCAATGACCCCGGGCTGGACTCCGCTTCATCCACGCCATGGTGAAAGCCGATCCAGCGATCCACAGCGCAAAGTTGATGTATTTCCTCAGCGACCAGCACGGATCAGCGCCAGGCATGACGAAGCGGATATCGTCCTCTTTTGGAAGGCCAAACAAAGTAGTTTCGCTTTCACAACAAAACACACAGCGCCTTCACGACATGGCGGCGGCGGCAACAACAATACTACAGCGAGAATAAAAGTTACGCCTTCTTTCTTTGCGTGAACATTTGGGCAGCGTTATGCAAATCTTCCCACATCTTGACATAGACGTGGGGGCTTGTTAGAATGAGCCGTTTTAGGTAGGCGTGGTTGACTCTTAACTTTTATAAAGAATATCCCTTTGGATTTGAGACTTTACAGATCTTCTTTATGCACCAAGAGCTTGTAACACTCCAAAGAGAAAGGAAAAATTGAAATTGCATCATATGACCCCTGTAAGGGATTTTTTGTTTGTTTGTTTCCTCAGGTTACAGGTAAGATTATGATACACTGAAGGGAACTGAACTAAAATGGTCTCTGTCTGGTCTCATTATCATGTTTAGAATAAACTCCTGTCCTTTTTTCTGCAGGGAGTTGGATAGGAGAAAAGAAACAATGGATAGACTGGATGACTTTACTTTTTCGCTTTGTAATTCTCACAGACACTCCTTCCAAAATAAACCGCCAGTCCCTAAGCGACACAAGTCAAAAGCCGAGACAAGCTGATAAAAATGGTCTGGTCTCATCCTGGCTTCATCAAAGTAATGGAACGTTGTTCTGCTTCCTACTGCTTCAAAACATGAAGTAAAAGCGACTAGGTGTCTACTTTCAACATTAGTCTTAAGGAACCACTAATATTAATGTTGTCATTAGCAATGCAGCTAAATATTGACAAATACATTCATTAAAAAAAATAAAGAAGTATTAGAGAAATGTTCAGTCTTCTGAGATATCAACTCAATATAGTATAATTCATGAATTTGCAGTGGTTATTTTGGATTTACTGGTATTAGGTCGAGCTGGATGTTTTTATTTCCTGTGTTCTGGCCTTATCACTGAAATTTAACAGGGGTAGTATCATCACTAGAACATTAGGAACATAAAAATCTGTTTTGAGAGTTAAACATGCACCCTGTTCTACTTTCCAATAGTTGCAGTATAGATGTAATGTAATTCAGGAACCCTGTTCAACAGTATTTCAGTCCAATTGCCTTCCATCTGTTTTCTGTTCAAGCAAGCCAGAGGGATCAAGCAAGAAATTTCTTAAAACAAACCATGACATTACATGTTGACATGCAGACATCTATCGGGACAAACAGACGCATGTTTAATACACACAAATATTGACAATATGACTTTTTAAATTAAGAATGGCTTAATGGGTATTGCATGGGGAAACAGTGATATGGAAGAATATCCGTGAAAAACAGCCTTCTGCTCTCTTAAGGCAATGTATCCCATACAGTCCAAACAGAGGCTACATGGTATAAGTGGATGTTGGGGGAAGGAAACTCCAAGGGCATTTGGGGAAGCCAGCCCAAGAGAGGCTGTTATTCACAATGATGGAAGAGAATAAGATATTACTCGAAGTGACTTATTTTCACGTGACCACCATAGTGCTCTGAAGGAAAGGGTAATTGAATTTTCAGCCTGGGTTTTTTTAAGCTTCTTAGCAATATCTGGAGCAGTTCCACTGCCAGGATACTAGGATTACAGGCCTTCACAGAGCCTCTAGCCAGACATTCCTAAAGGGAAGACCTGAGAGAACAGAGGCCTCGTTCTCCAGACCCAGCAGTGCACACAATCCAACAAAGAACCGAGTCCACTTCCTTAACAAGACATTACAAGCATGTTGAAACTTACTGTATGAAATGAACTAGACTAGGGGTCACTCCAGACATGGAAAGGCTCGGCTTTTTTCTTATGCACAGGGTAAGCTGAGAATGGCAACACAGTCCATGGATAAAATGTTCCCTAGTGGGTGAACATTCAGCTTCTAATGAAATACATTGGAGACAGGGTCATAACCCTGAAAGTTGAGAAATCACAGAAGAATATGGTGACTGTTAAAAATCTTCTGGTTAATTAAAGCAAATATACAGTACTGAAACAAATACTACGTGTTAAAGACCCAGCTGGGTTGACAGTGAATGGCAAGTCACTTGAAACCATTCTGGCACAGCTCCCAGTAATTTTTGTGTCTGCGACTTATCTAACAGACTTAAAGCCAAGTGGGCTTCTTTTATATCTGAGGTTGTGGTTTTAGGAAGCTTCAACTTGTCTTCTCAAATTAATGCTTAAATGCCACTCTTCATTGCTAAGTCAAAGATACACCAATGGGGATTGACAGAGGTTTACACTGGCAAATCAGAGATGTCTCATTAGGAGACATTATGCTTCCATTACGACTGCAAGAAAAGCCAAGCCATATAGTCTTGAAAACAGGTGGTTGCAACTTGAGACTCCCAAAAGTTAAACCTGCGAAACTGAGAAATATCCAAGCATATCCAGTGCAAGTGTAAAGTTAACCCAGATCTGGGGTTCAGACTTACTGAGGTTATTTAGCGATAGTATGATTGCATGAACACTGATAACCTCATCCGTATCTGGACATGCTTTCCACTTTCTTCAGAGACAATCTTTGGTAGATCAAAAGTTAAAGACAAAAACGGTTATTTAGGGTCACCATAATAAAGATAAGTAGGGTTTAGCCCACATATATTCTTAATAAAGACTTAAACCAAACTCCTCAAAAGATTAATCTGTATTACGGCTAAATCTTTATCGACTACGTTCCTCTAAGATAATTTACGGGCTATAGAACAGTCTCTGGACTGTGTATGGTGGTTTCAGCTCTAAGAGTAACAAGCACCTAAGTGGTTTTATACTGGGCATATTAAAAATGTTAAAAGTTCCCAAAGAACTCTCAAACAAACACCAGTTCCCAAAGACATCTCCAGGGATGGCCATAACTGTGGTAACAAACCCTAAAGCACACAGGACTTATCCTAGTTCACACACTCCCTATTATTGGCATCTAAAGCCTCCTCTAACTGCATAGAGAGCATAGCCTAAGGTAATATAGATATTACTTCAGGTGGGGAAGAAAAGAAGAATCTTTATCAATAGTGCAGGTTAAGTTGACTCAGTGGGGCTTTCTGAGGAAGAGATGTTTGTCCAGTATCATGGGGACAGAGACAAGCCTCTTCATGATTTGTTGGTGTTGTAGAGAGGTCTGTTTTATATTAGCCACCTCTCTTGAGGCTTCTGGTTATTCAGCGCACTTACCCCTAATCAGATCCATACTCACCCCGGTAGGGGAGCCAGTTAACATATGAGCCCTATATAGTAATCAACAGCCTGTCAGGCTTATGGGAGGAAAGAAGGCTTCATGTGAACGGAGGAAGTCTCTCTTGGACTTTTGGACAGCTGTGGAAACTGATGGTTTGTCAAACTGTCTCTCACAGTAGCAATACAGTTCTGTACCACCAACACACTGTAATATGCTATAGTTTGTAGCAAGCAGCCTTGTACTCAGCTACATTCTTCTATTTTTTTTTTTTTGGTATATAACCTCTTAAACCACCTATTCCATCACATAAACCAGAAACTCATTCAGCTTTCCTTCATAATATGATCTTAAATCTTTGCTCATGACATTATGTTGCAAGGTCTAGTCCAGATGCAATGGAAACGAGGAGCATTAAATAGGGGTTTATCTTGGTTTAGAGCAAACTGGTTCCTACAAAAATAGATCTAGCGCCATGCCTTATGGTTCTGAAAAACTGTCTCTTTTTGTCTGCCAAGTACTTCCTGTCAGGCTAACATGCCATGGAAAAAAACACAGATCAGAAACAGATGCAACAATAAGAGGCATCCCTTCTTAGACACAATTTCATCTTGGTGTTGTGTCAAGCATCCGTTCTTCCATCTGCTCTTGAGGGTTGAGCATTGGGGGGTGTTTTAGTGCTTGTTATGGAAAAATAAATCTTAAGGTCAGAGTTTTAATTTGGTCCACTCACTGGCAAAGTCCAAACAACTGCTCATGAAGAGACTCACGTAAAGTGGATTTTATGTTATGTAGATGCATGATGAAATTTAGATTTAAGTTCTTTCACACCCATCAAAATTTTCCCATCTACTGTGGGATTTGCTCCCATGTTGCTCAAGCAGATGTGCGTGCAGGAGTTTTAGATCATGCTCATCGCTTTGATGTGCAATGTTCTCCTACACCACCCACCAAAAACACTGATGTCTAAAGAAAAGAGACAGAAAAGGGCGTGAATGAAAGTCTGCACATGGTTACAACTTCAAATACAACTTATTTTTTCATTAACTTAAAGTTAATATGGCCAGAATCCTTATGAGGACAGTGGAGTCTAGTCCAAAGCTATTATACAAGTTGGCTACCTCACAAGCTGATTAATCAGGTATGCACTGCCTCAGAACATGTATTGAGGCCTGACATCTGCCCTCTCACTAACCACTGGCAGGAGTTGACAATCACATTTGCAGTAAAAACTAATCAGCTTTCGTTATCCATCACCTTAGTCCATGAGGAAACTTCAGGAGGTTTATTAATCACAATATTGACATATTTCTTCATGCATTTCGTTAAAGGTCTGGCTTTCCTGCTCAAACGAGAATCAAGATTCTCTTAAAAAACAAATGCTCACCATTGATCTTTGTCCAAAACAAACAGAATTACATTATTACTTCCAGCTGACTTGACAATAAGTGCAGAATAGCATAAAATACGGGATAGTCCTTCTCCAGGGAGTGATGCATGACCAGGAGTGTTAGTTTCCACTTGCCAAAGCGAAAAAGAAAACATAATAGAGATTCTTCAAGCAGCATGATACCAACCCGCCTGGCAGCATCCAGGCCTTTTTGAAAATGTTCTGCTTCAGCTGGGCTTTAAGGCCCCGATATACTTCAAACAAAGTTATTTTTCGTTCTTCGTTTGAGGGCAAAAAGAAGTTCGAAAAGGC